GCTCAACAGGAGTCGGCAGTGTGCCCCGGTGGCCATGGGGGCAAACCACATCCTGGGGTGCATAAATCACAGTGTGCCCAGCCGGTCAAAAGAGGTGATTGTCCTGCTGTACTCAGCATTGGTGCGGCCTCACCTTGAGTACTGTGTGCAGTTCTGGGCCCCACAATTTAAGAAGGATGTTCAAGTACTCGAATGAGTCCAGAGGAGGGCAACAAAGCTGGTGGAAGGGCTGGAAGGCATGTCCTGGGAGAAGCAGCTGAGTACTTTGGGCTTGTCTAGTTTGGAGAAAAGGAGGCTGAGGGGCAACCTCATTGCTCTCTATGGCTTCCTGAGGAGGGGAAGTGGAGAGGGAGGTGCTGAGCTCTTCTCCCTGGTGTCCAGTGAGAGGACACATGGGAATGGTTCAAAGCTGCACCAGAGGAGGTTCAGACTGGACATTGGGAAGTATTTCTTTGCCAGGAGTGTGGTCAAACACTGAAAGAGGCTTCATAGAGAGGTGGTCAATTCCCCAAGCCTGTCAGTGTTTAAGAGGCATTTGGACAATGCCCTTAACATGTTTAACTTCTGCTTAGCCCTGAAGTGGTCACACAGTTGGACTAGATGATTGTTGTAGGCCCTTTCCAACTGAAGCAGTCTACTCTAGTCTTAAAATAACTGGCAGTGTAACAACAAGGCACGCAGAATTTAGCTTTCTTACAAACCAGCAGTTTTTAGGGTGGTTGTAAGCATTCTCTTGCCTCTTTTCCGAGGCTGTCAGCCAAGTCCCAAAGATACGACCAGTGAGCCTGGCTTAGTACGCAGAAATAAGAATCCTCAGGAAGGATATTGGCATGGAGGCTCCTGATACATTCCAGCTGTGCTTGCTATGCACAGGCAAAATGCCTGGCTTCCCCTGCTCGCTCTCAAGGCTTGATGCAGTTGGCAAAACATAAGCATCTTATAGCAATTTAGATGTCTTAGGACTACCATAACAACCATCTGGGTCTAACATACATGCTGCACTATGTATGGGACACCTCCAGAAGCAGCATCTGGAGGCCAGAGGATACACCTTGAGGAGTCTAAAATAGCACTGGACACCTGTTATGGCAATTGAATCATGCTGTCACTGTCCCAGTTAAAAGACAGTGTGCCAGCTGCAAGCCTACTCTAGTGAATGTTAACACAGTGAAAGGCAATGTACTAATAACTGTATATTATTGCAATTTGGAATTCCAAAGTGTCAGAGCTACTGCAGTAGTGCAGCATAGGAGGTGCAAGCTTTCTGCTTTGCTCTGTGCTGCCTGTGCAGGCCATTTATGCTATGGCGTTACCCAAGTCTCCCATGTCTTGCTCCCTAGTAAGTTCAGAACGCTTGGAGATTAAGGGGAATGCTCAAAGCAAAAAAAGTCAAGTCAGACCCAGAGCACCCAGAAGTCCTGCTGGCCATTGTGCAAAAGTATTTAACAGCTTTGTATACTCTCATGATACCATTTTGAAACCAGTATTGTGAAAGTATCAAACCCGATAGAACTATTAAAACATTTAAAAGGGAAAATCTCTGGGACACGTATTTACCTAAGTGCATAGTTGAGCCCACTGCACTTAATGACCCAATTTTACAGTTCTAGCAGGGAAAATTCTTACTAGCTTTGTTTGTCTTTGTTTTGTGAGAGCTTTATTTGTCCAAGGAGTATAGGATCATGTCCTCCAAATACGTATTGATGCAGTCCAGGGTGCTGGTGGAACGTTAGACCTTCCTCTCAGGTTACGCAGTAATTAATCAGAAAGTTCATTAAAGAGTTCAGAACGTTGTACAGAGATTTAAAGGAGATTACCTACTTTTTTCCTCATTCTCTCTGACAAGATAGGGAGAAAGAACTGGGACTGTGTTTCTGAATGCCCTGAAGAGGAGCATAGCAGAGCTGGAGGAGCTTGACCTGATGGCCTGTCTGCCAGCCATTCAAACCCACTAGACAAAGCATTTGAGCATGACTGCTATGTCCATGTCATGAAATTGCAGCTGCAGTCAGATCTTGAGCAAGATTTGTTTATTTTAAAAGTGACTAGTCCAAATCCATCACAGCTTAACAACTTCATGCTGATCTCGGTTGAGGTTGCTCTGGTTCTCTCCTCCATTCCCTCTGAAGTCCCACAGTCCTGCTTTCCTTCGAGCTTTTATAGTGGTGCTTGTGCAGTTGTGTAATCGATCATGATGCTATGGGAACTAATTTTTTTTTATTTGGAGGTTAACTTTTTAGCCAGCTTAACTTCCTGAACTACCTCACCACAACAACTACCAGAGCCATTGCAAAAGATGGGGCAAGACAGATTTGTTGTGGGCCAGGGAAAGGGTGAGACTGCGGCAGCTTCAACTTATAGTGGTTTAAGTTGCAGTGGACCTGAACACCGAACTGAAAATCTTCAGTGCAAAATTTCATTTTCACTACAGCACAGGATGTGTGAAAACTGGAAATCATCCACAGTACAGATCAACACCTGAGTGCTTTTGAGACCTCAAGAAAATCTTTCAAGTTAAAAGGAATACATTTATAAGAGTTTACATTTTAGAAGAGTTCAACAATTTTCTCTCTCTAAAGTTAACAGAAAAAAGCTAAAAATTTCTTCAACATGTTAATAAAGCTAGGATTATCTGCTATGGCAGACATCTGCATTAGGACAGCTAGAGAAATACAGAAATGTGGCCAGCTAAATAAATCTCTGTTTTTTAAAGGAAAAAAAAAAAAAAGAAAAAAGGGAGGCATTCAACAGAGAAGGCGAGGATAGAGGCACAGAGAGATTGCAGAGCAGCACTTGGCATAGGAAAGAGTCAGTCAAGGGGAAAGTATGATTTACAGGGTCATCTCCAAATGACTCTCACTCCCTTCATGAGACTAAAAGGAAACCATCTATCCAGCCCTAGGGATTTTTTTTCCCCATCTTGATTCCAGGATTACAGAATATAACCGGAAGAAAAAAGCTAGCCTGAAATAGTAGAGATTTTACATTCACACTCAGATCCCAAACCATGAAGACCACGAGTCAGCCACAAATACAAATTTAATGATAATGACTTGCGTTCTATATGTTCTGTAAACAAAAAGAATAGAGTGCTTTTAAAGTTGAACTAGACATTAGCCTAAAGATTCAACCAAAATGGTACTTACTTGTGAATTTGGAACGCCGCCCGCCCAACCCACACTGGCGTATTTTGCCACCCCGAAAGAGTCCGTAGTAAATTTCTCCAATGAACTTGACCAGCTCTGGATCTGTGGCATTGACCAAATCCGCTCCTGTTTTGCAAAGGATCTTTCCAGTCATCCACTTCGGGGTCCCCATTGCGACAACAATCAAGAGAAAGGACACAAAACTTATTAGAGAAGCCAAGGCAAATAGTGTCTTTTTAAAACAGCCAGGCATCCTAGTGGTTTCAAGGAATCATCCCCAAGGCCTCTCTGCAGCCGTCGGGCACGTTTCCCATTTGTTCTCACGCTCCGAAATCCACAAATGAATAGCAGCAGGCCTTTCAAAATACATCTCAATTGTATTTTGAAGCTCCAGAAATTAATCTGTACGGTTAAAAATCAAGCCCCAGAAATACATTTTGCTGCGACAACGTCTTGCAATGGTTGCAAGTCGCAGCTTCGTGACACAGTAGCGCAGCGATGCTTGTTTCTGCACAAAGTAATCCTGTATCTATTGCCTGGCTAATGTTTCATCGGAGGTTTAATTGTCCTGCTCAAGTGACATCGACTTCTTTACTGTAACCTCATGGGAAGACACTTAGGAGCGGGATCCAGGTTGTTGGTTTTTTTTTTTTTTTCTAGATTATTAACGCGGGTAAATAGCTGCGTGCAGGGGACAAAGCATTAAAAACACGGAATTTGCCGTCGGGTTGCGCTGCCGGCTGCTCGGCGCCTGCTCCCCCCCCCC